AATGCGATACATTGACTGTCTGTCTGTTTTACGACAAAAGCGAGCTAAACAACAAACAAGTCTCATCTGAAATTGCACAAAAGTACGTGTTTTACGGCAATAATTAGCAATTTATCGCTCCAAGCGCTCCTCATATGGGTGGATTATGGGAATAAGCTGTAAAAATGCTACAAATCCCACTTCAAAAAAGTAGCTGGAAATTACAAATTTAATTATGAAAAATTCACTACATTATCAATTCGAATTGAAGTCGTTACCAACTCCCGGGCACTCTAAAAGTTCTTCATAAACGGTACCAATGAAAAATTCCAGAAAAGGCGCCAAAGCTTGGAGACTGTATCATCATACATGATGATTGTCTACAACCCACAGAATGGCGGCTTGGCCGCATAGAAAAATTACATTACGGTTCCGATGGTCATATAGGAGTAGTTGATTTCGTACTCAAAGCGGAACGCTATCAATGCCGCTACTGAAATTATGTTTTCTACAAGCTGCATCCAATAACGAATACGCAAATAATAAAAAATCCACTTGTCCAACTCAAACCAAATTAAATAATCAAATAATGACCCGATAAACCCGCAAAAAACAAAACCGTTAAAAATTCTTACAATTCTAACCGCAACGATCGATCCAGATGACGATCCATTCCTGGCACATAAAGTGGCACCATCGCCTATAAATTTACATGCCACAAATGCATAACCACTCTAACCTCTTTATACAGATAAATATGGATGTGGATATGGCAACAACACCAACGCCAACTGTGAGGTCGGTCATCAACGTGCCGCGCCCTGGGGCAACTCCAGCGCCAGGTGCTCTTAAGCACCAGCAACAGATCCTCAACGCAGTCGATGCACCCTGTGTCGCCGTCCGCATCGGCTAAAAGACCGTGGTATTTTCAGAGGCATGCAGACCATGCAACGCAAGCAGGTAGCCCATGCTTCATGGGCACTGCCTTAATTGTGTACGTCCGTTAACGTATTATATATTTAACATTTTTTACTAAACGAAGCGAATACTGCTGGCGTAATCGAGATAGGATTTTGAATCTTGTACTTTCACTTTCTTATAATAAACGAATTTAAAGGAATCCGGTGTGTTCTCTTGTTTTTTAGTAGTAGTTTAGAAAGCGTTTTGGTTGTTTTTACAAGAGCCATTTTGAGGATCACTTTAAAAATTGACTGGGTTCTTTTGTTCACAAGCAGAGATGCCGGATTGGTCAGTTTTGAAGCGAGATGTAGCTCGAACTTTGATATGAAGAAAATGTTTAATTAATTTAGTAATTAATTGATTAATGATTCGATTAATGCTATTCATTTGATTAATCTTGCCATCCCTAATCGCCGACGTATAATGCGAAGTCGTAAGTCATTCCTGATGCTCCAGCTCAGGTAAACATTTTTATTCCCCACTTATGTGGCTTTGGTGGATTGTATTACTTCAAACTCGATCTACCCTTGAATGCTACAATTTGTTCATCCACGAACTGAAACTCTTCTTGGGGCAAGGTGTTGAACTAAACTCTTATAATGTCAACAAAGGGAACTTTATACAATTATGAAATTTAATTTTATACCCCTTTTACGGGAGTCAACTCTACTTGGTTCTATTGGCGTTGAAGCAATTCAACTTCAGATCAAACCAACTCATTTTTGGTATTAGGTTAAGTTAGGTTAGGTTAGGTTAGGAGGTTGATCCCAAGAAGGATCCCACTTGGACAGCTTAAGACGCCGGTCCGTTGTGATACCTACAAAACTCCTATAATCTGGATCAAAAGACCCTTACAATTCGACGAAACGCTTTGTGCTTACAACAAACTTGTTAAGACAGCCAATATCCATTTCGGCTAAGTATTCAGGTCCGCCAAAAGTGTGATTGGCGAGATATTGGAGGAGAAAGTACCGGGATGATTCCACCTCGCTCTCCTCCATGCAACTTTGGCAACTAGCATCGGGTAGTACTCAAAGCCGTACCGCATGAGTGCTCATTGTACAGTGTCCAGTGAGAACTCCTACCATAGCGGCGAGATGCACTTTTCTTAAGGCGAGAAGTTCCCCCGACCTCCTGCGCACCACTCTTGGCCAGAAGGCCATTGATCCAAAGCTAGAAGGCAAAACGTTAACGGAGATCCAACTCGATCCCATTCCGATGTGAGCAGGGCAAGGGTGCCCCCATGGCTAGCTCATCGGCTTTGCAGTTTCCAGCGATTCCGCTGTGACCAGGCACCCAAACGAGCCTGATGTTGAAATAGCCAGATGCTATCTATAGTGAGGACAGACACTCCTTGACTAGCTTTGATTGCACGGTTCAGCCACTCAAAGCTAGTATTGCCGCCCTACTATCGGAGTGGATGCTCAGTTCTACAAACGAGGCTGCACTACGCAGCAGTACTTCTACCGCCACCTTGATAGCAGCCACTTCCGCCTGAAAAACACTACAGTGGTCCGGAAGCCTGAAGCTAAGACTGATGGAGAGCTCCTTGCAACCTCCCCTCCAACCTTCCCTCCTAGCCTCGATCCATCCGTGAAAAAGCTCACCGCGCCTCTTCTCCAGCGGCTTCTTCCTATCCACATGTCCCTCGTTGGAATATGAGCGGAGAAGGAGCCGCCTTGAGTGGCCTCAGTGACGCAGTGATCTACATTTTCCGGAATGCAGCTGAAGGAGGAAAGAATTTCGGAGTGTCCTTGTTCGGACCTCTTCATAAGCCCAGCTTCCCTGAGCCTTAGAGCACACTTCGCAGCAATGCACCTACCGACAATGTCCAGTGCACCGGAGATTCCGATGAGCGCCGCTCTTTCGACCCGCTAAAGCTTTTTAGCCAGTGTGGCCTTTCGAGCACCCTCCAGCAGACGAACACACCATAGAACATTATTGGCTTAACTACGGTTTCGTAGAACCAGAACACAGGGTGAGAGTCCCCACCTTTTCCCTATAGCCCCTTTGCAGCAGTATAAGGCGACCGATGCCTTCTTAACTCTCTCCTCAATGTTTGGCCTCCAGGAAAGTTTTTTTATCGAGGGTAAGCCCTAGGTATTTCACTTTATCAACAGGGGGAAGAAGTGAGAGACACATTGGGGATCTTATACCTCCTAGTAACCATTTCGGTTTTACTTGGGTTGAGCTGGTAGACGGTATTCAGGAATTTTCCCTTAACCATAAGAACCACATCATCAGCATAGGCTGTCACCCGACAGCCTTGTGCCTCGAGTTCTATAAGTAGGTCGTTTACCACCAAGATCCAGAGCAGGGGGGAAAGTACTCCCCCTACGGAGTTCCCCTATTCACTTTTCTGGTTGTATTGGCACCACCCCACTCCGCTGCGACAGTTTTGTTGCAAATAAGACTAAAAATAAGGTGCTTGAGGTTCGACTCCACCTCAAACATTTCGAGGGCTTTAACCACTGCCTCTGGTCGCACGTTATTGAAGGCCCCCTCGATTTCGAGAAAGGTGACAACAGCAAATTCCTTGTGCTTGAGAGCTATCTCCAGTCACGACACTACATCATGCAAAGCAGTGTCGACCGACCTGCCTTTGGTATACGCGTGCTGCGCCCGTAACAATTTACCTCTCGGTATTCTGTTCCTAATGTACAGATCCATAAGCCTCTCCAATGTTTTCAACAGAAACGAGGATAGGCTGATGGGTCTGAAATCTTTTGCACCGACGTGAGAGCTTTTGCCGGCCGTCGGAATAAAAGTAACCTTAACCTGTCTCCAGACCTTCGGGACATGTCCCAGTCTAACACAGTTCGCGTAGATGGGGGCCAGCCAGCTGCATGACATCTTAACCGTACGCTGTAGTTGCGCTGGAATAATGCGATCGGGCCACGGGGACTTGAAGGGTTTGAAGGATTTCAACGCCCAGGTAAGGCGACGATCGTCCAGAAGGTCCAGGAAGGCTGTACAGCCCTCCTGCAGCTCCCCCAGTGGCACTTCTTTAGCAGAGTTATTTAGTGGGAAATGAGCATCTTCGTTGTCCAACTAAAATCTGCATTTTTTAGATACCCCAATGGAGAAGGATTTTTTGCCAGAATGCGCCTGAACCGTGACGACTCATGACAGCCCTCTACACTACCGCAGGAGGCTCTCCACGAAGCCCTCTTGGCTTTCTTCAACTCGGACTTGTAAGTGGCCAATCCGGCCTACAACGCACAGTCGTCACTAGAGCCACTTTTACGGGCTTTGTTGAAAAGTCTTCCGCTCGAAGATCTGATCTCCGTTAGCTCCGAAGTCCACCAAGGCGGTTTCCCTTTAATTTTATGAGTTCTCAGAGGACAGGAGCTGTCAAGAGTAGTTCTACTAACAGAGCTGAAAACCTCGACGAGCTCATCGACCGCATCCGCAGATAGGATCGAATCCCTGTCGGGTGCTGTTGGAAGAGCTGATCGAAGCTTCCTGCAGTACAGGACCCAGTTGGTATTCCTGAAATTTCTATAGGTTTTGAGCTTCGGGCGTGATTCTTTCAAGCTGAAACCAATATACTTACATTTATGATCGGAGAAGGAATGGTCGTCTAGAACCCTCCATTCCGAAATCAAGGGAGCAATTTCCCTAGAGGCTAGCGTAACGTCAAGTACTTCCGAGCTGCTAGCAGTCACAAAGGTGGGGCTGTACCCCCTATTACATATAGAAAGGTCTACACTACAAATAAAATCAAAAAGTGACTCACCTCTTGCGTTGATGTCCGAGCTCCCCCAGACGGTGTGCTTGAATTAGCATCCGAGCCTATTAAGACTGCGGCCCTTCTCAGCAGGTACGGAGGTGGCTCCACCTCGTCGTCGTGCGGCATGTAGGCTGAGACAAGCCAGAGTCCTCCAGCACTGTCCTTCAGTCTAGCAGTAACGACATCTTCGTTGCAGAAATTAGGCAAAAGCAAAACGTTAAGTTCGTTTCTGATCAACAAGCAGGCTCTGGTTCTACCTGTGCTATTTGCCGCCAGGAGCTTGTGGCTTTTTGTCCTTAAACCAGAGGTACCGTTGCTGCCCAGCAATAGATCGGCGGAGGCCGCCTTTGAGTGCTGGAGGTTAATTTGGAGGATTCTCATCCTCTAAACTCCTCTCCAGCAGTGCAAGTTCCGCACCATCATCCGTACTATCGACCCCAGCCTCCTCGAACAGGCGCTCGAGACTGAAGACGGATCCATCATCGCCTGACGATCCGCCCCTCGTGCTCACCACATCCGAGAGGATGGGGTCGATGTCCATTTTCGAGTGGATCGCTCTGCCACTCTCATCCACTTCAGCTGGAGGCAGTGGGCCATCAGCACTGGCTTCAGTTGGGAGAATCCTAAGGACGCCCCTCTCGAAGACATAGCTTATGGCCCCCTTTGCAATGCTGAGAGGAGCGAGGGACTCCTTGTTTAGGAGTATCAGCGCTCGCCGATATGGTTTCTCGGTCCTCTCCAGCTAAACCACCTTCCAGTCTTGGGTGGGAAGAGATGGATTGCAGTACCGCAATATCTCTTCAATTTCGGTCGGGGTAGAGGGTTCGACCGGAAGCCAGACACGAGTACGAGGTCGCATCGGAAGATCCGATTTGGCCACCGCCTCGAGCCTTGCTCCCTTTCAAACTTTCCCCACCCTGGCTATCGCCTCCTTATAAATGAATGCCGACCGTTCGTCGGCACACCTTATAAGTTTGTGTAAGCCGAGGTTCCACCCGGCACTTTCACATCTTGGGGGTGGTCCAGGGCTTCCCCTGACCACCTTCATAAACACAGCGGAGATAGCAGCCGCTACCCGCTTCCACTCATGATGGGAGATGTCTTGCCACCATAGCGCTCCAAAATCCAGCCAGCCGACGGTCCGACTTCAGCTTTTTAGCTGTGGTCACGCGCTTCGCCCCGAAACCCTTAGCGTTCGCTGAGGACCCCGCGCCCCCCATGAACTTAACAGAGGCTCCTCTGCTACGCCCTGCTTAAGGTGTCAGTCGGCTGTGACGGTAAGCCAGACACCCCCGGAATTTTTCTCCTCACCCTTTAGCGGGGACGGTTTCGTCCGCATAGGTTAGGATGTACCCCCCCCCAGAAACCAGAAATATTTTTAGACGGGTTGAGTTGAAAACCATAATACCGAATTCCAAAACTTCTACGAAAATTCAGTTGGATTGAAAACCGTAATAGGAGCCTTAATTTCTTTGACCAAACCATTTTTATGTGTGATATTTTTATAATACCCATATATAGAAGCCGATATAACGTCTGAAAAGGCGTACATTTTGGTTCTGTACCCTTTTTTTCCAACGCATATAAATTGATTTGCAACCGTGCCATCGAAAAATATTTCAAAATATTCGTTAGGTGTTTTTACCTGGCAGTCCTCTTCGATTACGGCACTTCCCCTCCACTCCATATCGACGGGCTTCATTTTCACCACTTCAATTAAGATGCATCCACTTTTGCAAAGTAAATTTTACCATTAACGTCTTTATCCTCATCATGTCTTGAAACATCATCACTATTTTGTTTTTGGTAATTTTTCATCAAGTTCTCGAATAATGAATTTTCTATCTCTTCTCTTCCTAAAATTTTTTCAAGCGCTTCTCCCAAATTAATGCCGTCATCATTACTAGGCTTCATTATTAGTCTTCGGCAGATGATAGGTTTCATTCGCAAATCCGCCATAGCTTTAACTTTAAATTCAGCCAGCTTTTTCTCACGTGAACGCTTTTCTGTAAACCACTTTTGTGGTTTATGAACTCTATGGACTGATGTTGCTTATAAGCAATTTGAACTTCAAAAAAAATCTAGCTCCTCAAAGCAGCAGCTAAAGCTCCTAAATAATATAAACATATCTTTGTACTAGGATATTTCAGTCTTTTCAAATTTTTTGGTTTCGAGTATCTATACTAATATTATAATATTATAAAGCTGAAGAGTTTGTTTGTTTATTTGTTTGAACGCGCTAATCTCCGAAACTACTGGTTCGAATTGAATAATTCTTTTTGTGTTGGATAGTCCAATTATCGAGGAAGGCTATAGGTTATATAACAAGCTACGACCAATAGGAGCAAATATATAGTGGTAAATGTGTAAAAAACGGGAGAAATTATTTCATCTTTGAAGACTTCCGTTGCGTGCGCCGTGAAAACGGTTCAAGATACACAAAAAATATGTATTAAAGAATAATAGCTCTTTTAATGATCTAAAAAACAGTCCGCGATAGTATATGTCTATCTTTTAAGATTAACTCACAAAAACCGGTTTTATGGTACCTAATTTGGTCAAAATAATTTGTTTAAGTTGTATCAACATAATAATATTAATCTTTATTCAAATAAATATGTTGTTGGTTAAGAGTACTTCATTGTGAATAAAATTGTCTTTGACATAACTTAATTTCAACAAAAAACTTTAAAGATTACAATGATAAATAACCCCGAAACAACGCTGGCCGGCGCAGCGGGAAAGAGGCGGTACTTGCGGGCAAGCCGGGAGGGGGGTGTAGCTCAACGCTCGCGCGGTCGGCTCCCTACTGAACGGTTGAATACAGCGCTAATTTGTTTATGCGATATAATTATCATCGTAATATTACTTTTTAAACACAGTTTAATTTTTTAGTTGTTTTCTATATAGTAGGTACTTTATTTGTTTTAGGATAGTATTTAGTTACACAATAATAACACTTTTTTGTTTTCATGTAGATTAATAATTTATAAGTATGTGTTTTCTATAAGTATAGTATTGTTTGTTTTAAAAATAGTACTTAGTTTCTAATATTTTTTTTTTTGTAGTACATAATACCTGTAGGTACCTAAATAGGTGTCGCCTACTTAATTATTCTTATTAGATTAGGGTATAGTTTAACGTATTTAGTTTCTAATTTTTTTTTGCTTTAGATAAAACCTGTAAATAGGTGTGGTCTACCTATTTATTCTCATTAGATTAGGGTTAAGCATAAAGTTAGTTTACCTTATTTTCATTTTACGGTTGTTCTTTTGACATAATCGTTAAAAATAAAAGTAATTAGGTTCCTAATTATTAATCTTCTTAATCTTACGTATCTTTTTTTTTTATTACGAGATACGCTTTAGTTAGGCTTTCATTTTCTACGTTTTTTCTTCATCACTATAATGCCGAGAAAAAGAACTCAGCTTTCTCGGCAGACTGCTACTGGAAAGCGGCTGCGAGCTTTGCGCAGCAATGAAACTGAGGATGAAAATATGCACAGGTTGGCTACACAACGAGCAACTACTGAACAAAACCGTGCAAGGGAATCAAGCGTTGAACGTTCGCAGCGTTTAGCCTCACAAAATTTCCGAACTTTGGCGAACCGGCAACGGGAATCGAGTGCTGGTCGTTCTCAACGTTTGGCTTAACAGAATGCCCGAACATTGGCTAACCGCGATCGGGAATCGAGTGCTGAACGTTTTCAACGTTTGGCCTCACAGAATGCCCGAACATTGGCTAACCGCGATCGGGAATCAAGCGCTGAACGATCCCATCGATTAGCACAGCAAAATGCCCGATCAACTAGGAATAGAACTCGCAGACAACATAATTTATTAAATGCTGCTTTTGCTTATGATTGTACCGTTGACTATTCTGAGCTAAATGATATTGATATTGGTAGAATGGATAAAATATGCAACTTATGCCAAGCAAAAAAATGGGCAGCTGAAACTCCTGGACTGTGTTGTAGTGGTGGCAAAGTAAATATACCTATAATTCCGGAACCAACATCCGTTTTAAAGGAACTGATATCAGGCTCACATCCATCATCTAAGCATTTCTTAAATCACTCAAGACAATATAATACATTATTTCAGATGACTTCATATGGTGCCAAAGAAATTCGTGAGGGAAACTTTATGCCCACTTTTAAAGTCCAAGGGCAAGTTTATCATTTAATCGGTGACTTACTTCCAGCTGTAGGGACACAACCGGAATTCCTGCAAATATATTTTGTTTCCCATGCAGATCAGGTATTCTTGCGCTCAAATTTAAACCCAAGCTTGCAAATCGATCTTATCGACGTTCTCCAAACATATCTTCATGATCATAATACGTATATTCAAAGTTTTAAGTACAATCTAGAAAATAGACCACCGAATGATTTAAAACTTATCATTCATGCTGATGTAAAACCTCCTAATGAGCATAGAGGTCGGTATACTGCGCCGGTAGTAGATGAAGTAGCTGTTCTTATGATAGATGAAGACAAAGGTCCCCGTGATATTGTATTGACTGCGAGGGATGGTCGACTTCAACGAGTTTCTGAAATTCATAGATCTTATGACCCGCTTCAATATCCCTTACTGTTTCCCTTTGCAAACGACGGATACTGTATTAATATTCCACAGCAGAATACTACGGCTACATCTAAAACTGTTTCATGTATGCAGTTTTATGCATTTAGATTCATGGTGAGAATAAATGACTTTAACAGTATACATTATTTCAAAGGATTATTCAACCAATATTGTGTTGATATGGCGGCAAAAATGATCTCTGAGAGGCTAGACTTCATCAAAAGAAATCAAAAAAAATTGAGAGCAGAAGAGTACATTCATTTAAGAGATGCCGTCGTAAATGATGGACATATAAACGCTTCTAATATTGGCCAGCACGTTATATTGCCGTCGTCATTTACAGGATCCCCCAGATTCATGAATGAAAAAAGTCCAGATGCCATGACATATGTCAGGAAATTTGGAAGATCTGACCTCTTCATTACATTTACATGTAATTCCGAATGGCCAGAAATAAAAAGTGAGTTATTGCCCAATCAACATTCTTATGATAGACATGATGATAGACAATAGGTATTTCATTTAAAACTCAAGAAAATGATAGACCTATTAACCAAGAAAAATATTTTTGGCCCATCGAAAGCCTTTGTTTACAGTGTAGAATGGCAAAAAAGAGGTTTACCTCACGCCCACATTTTATTGTGGCTGGCTAACAAAGTTCAACCAGATTCTATAGATGCAATAATATCGGCTGAAATACCTGACATACAACAAGATCCGATTCTTCATAATATTGTCATAAAAAATATGATACATGGTCCTTGCGGATTTCATAATCCTACATCACCATGTATGAAAGAAAACGTTTGTTCTAAAAAGTTCCCTAGGCATTTTATTTCGGAAACACAAACGCGGGATGACGGTTATCCAACCTACAGACGCAGGTCTCCAGATAATGGTGGAAACGCAGCTATAATTCGTGTAAAAGGTACAGAAATGAGCGTGGATAATCGTTGGGTGGTTCCCTATAATCCACTGCTATCACGAATTTTCAATGCACACATTAACGTAGAGTTTTGTCAATCAGTCAAAGCTATTAAATACATCTGTAAGTATATTCATAAAGGTTCTGATCAAGCCACATTTTCGTTACAAAGTAATAACGATGAAGTAGAAAAATATCTAAATGGTCGCTACATAAGTTCCTCGGAGGCGTTTTGGAGAATTTTCCAATTTTCTATTCATGAACGTTTTCCGGCAGTAGTTCATTTAGCCGTTCATTTGGAAAATGGACAAAGAGTATATTTTTATAATAATGAAAATCTCCAAGATCGTGTGAACAATCCTTCATCAACGACACTTACAGCGTTCTTTGATCTATGCAAAAGCGACGATTTTGCAAAAACCCTTTTATATCACGAAGTTCCCCAGTATTACGTTTGGCAAAGAAATTGATTTTCTAGAAGAAGACGCGGGCAAGATGTTGAGGGATATCCCGGTGTAAAAAAAGACACAACTTTAGGCCGTGTTTATAACATTCATCCAACTCAAACTGAATGTTTTTATTTAAGAATGTTATTGCAATATGTTCGCGGTCCAATGTCATTTCAACATCTAAGAACCGTGAATGGTGTTATTTTCCAAACGTACCAAGACGCTTGCAAGGAATTAGGTTTACTGGAGGGAGATGAACATTGGCAAAATACCATGTCCGATGCTATCATATCCGAGCCAGCTACAAAATTAAGAGAATTATTTACCACTATCCTTATATTTTGCCAACCATCTGACCCCTTAGAGTTATGGAATAAATTT